CTCGGTCGCCACTGACGGGCAGTCGGGCGTCCCAGCAGGTAAGCAAGCGCGAGCTGGGGGCCCACAGGGGACCGGAGTGGGGGAAGGACCAGCCCCATGAACAGGAGTTTGGGGGGCTTTCAGGGGCTAGGGGTAGACCAGTAGTTTACCTCGTCGAGCCGAGAACCTGCGCGTGTGTGAAGGTGGGGCCAAGGGGCAACAGGTCCGCGCGTGGCGGGTCGGGGTGGGGAGGGCAATCTTAAGCGCTTCTCCAAGTCAGGATATGGCGGGGGGTTCCCTGTCCGACGGGGCGGGCGCGCCTCGGTCTCCTCCGACCCCCATGTGTACGTCTGAAGAGGGGTGGGAGTGGGGGCAGCCTGCAAGAGGACGAGCCCCCGACACCCCTTCTGCCTTGTGGCCCACGAGGGGCCGCGGGGGCACCCGGATCCCGCGGCCCCTGCGCAGGGGGCTGCCATCGCGGCCCAGCTGCGCGCAGAAGTAAACATCTGTCAGCGGCGCGTTCCGGCCGCGTTCCCTGCGCGCCGCCGCCGCCGCCGGGGACACGGTGTCCTCCGGTAAGGGCCTGGCTCTCTTGGCTCCTGGAGCCGCCTGTTCAGCCGCAAGAGGGCGCGAAACCCCTTTTTTTGGGAGGGGGGGTCCCTTAAGGGCAAAAACCGGTTTTGAAGGAGAGGGGGCTGTGGCTCCCTTTCTCACTCTTTAAAAGAGGCGTTCTCTCGCTCAGGGTAGTCTCAGATTCTCCCAGGAGATGTGGTTTAGGGGTTAGGAGTCACAGGCCAAGCAAGAGGTCTGCAAACAGTAGGCAGATTGAGGTGGGACTGGAGAGAGAGGCGGCCCCTCCCAGAGGGTGCTGTCACCACTGCCCCCTCCCCAGCAAGCACTAGGATGTATCCTGGTGCCACTGGCCCTGCTCAGCAGGCCTGTGGTTACCTGCAACCCTAGGCTGCCAGCCCAGATCTGAGGAGCAGGGCCAGGGCCCTGGGAGGGGGCTCAGGAGGCCAGACCCCTGGCTTCCCTCACTCCTGCCTGCCCCCCCTGCCCTCTCCCTGCCCAACAGCCTTCTCTCTGTGTTCCATGACACTCTTTGTCTGTCTTCAAGTGCCCCAGGCTGAGGAAGCCCCAATGGGGCGTGACTGGTCTAGGCGGATGTCAGTGGAGAGAAGACTCCCAGCTTTGCCAGCATCTCCCCACCCCCAGCCCACCGCCTTGGGGCCCTTCAGACACCCCTCCCAATCCCAGGACTTCTGAGGTTCGGGGTTCCAAAGCCACTCTTAGGCCTTCTAGCCCACCCCCACTGAGCTGCACAGAGCTAGTTCTGGGGGTGCAAAGAAGAAAAGCAAACATCGCCCCTCTGCAGCTGGGCACACAGTCTGAAATCTCACCACCTGTGCTTGCCCCTCAAATTTCAGGCCTCAGTTTTCAGGGAGGAGCAGAGGATGTAAAGCATCTAGGGCAGGAGAAGGAACCAAATAGTTTGCAGTGAGGCACAAGGACACAAGAGATTGTTTCAACAAGTGTTTGTTGGACGGTAGTGGTACAGCGGTTTGATGTCAGAGCTCTTGAACCCTGTCCTTCAAGGGGGACAGACTTAGACCCACGGTGAGCCCAGGGTGGGGAACAAAGGCTCTACCTTAGGGTAGGGCTGTCAAGGAAGACTTCCTGGAGGAGGGGCATTGGAGCTAGGGCTGTGAAAGATGAGTAGGAGTTTTCTAAGTGGGAACAGAGCATTCCAGGTGGTGGAAACTGCATAGGCAAAGATCTGGAGGCATGAAAGACGAGGATGGCTGTTTGTGGCAAATCCAGGGTGCCGGGGTGAGTGGAGGAAGGAGAGCCTGTTCTGAAAGATTGGCGGAGGGAGCAGAGAGGCATTCAAGGGCAGATTCCTGGAGGTGGGGGCTGGAAATACGGAGTAGAGAGGACGGGTCTTTAGTGCATCTGGCATCCCTGGGCTGGGCCATCTTTGCTGAGGGGCTGTGAGATTCCTCTGCAGATATATCTTTCCTGGTCTCGAAGGGTGGGTCACAGGGACCCGGGCAGGAAGAAGTTAGAGGAGGAGCCCCCCGCTGGCAGCAGGGGCATCTCCCTTTCCAGTTGGGGAAACAAGCCCAGAGGGCACCATTGCTTCCTACATAGCTTCACGTGTTGGAGGCCCAAGGCGGCATTGGAACTTGGGGAGATGGAAAAGGTGACTCAGGTACCCTGTTTCCCAGGAAACCAGTGTTAGGGTTTAAGCTGTGCCTAGGGTCTGTGCCTTGGTTTCCCCTTCTGTCAGATGGTGAGCTCTGCATCATGTTGTCCTGGCTAGTCCCGGAGGGTCCACACCCCTCAGGCCACCCGCTGGGCCCCACGCCAGCTGCTCAGCTGTGCCAGGCCTCCTCAGGCTGCTCCCGTTATCGCACCCCAGGGAGCCCCCTCCCACTCGCCCCAGATGCCTGCGGGGCCAGCCCCAGACCAGCCAGGGTGGTCGCAGTGGGAATTTTACAGCCCACCCACCCACACTCCTCGCCCCAGCCTCCCTGAGTATGCCCTGTGCGGCAGAGACGCAGGACCAAGACCACAGCCCCAGGCGCTGACCTCCCCGACCTTGCAGCCTTGCATAGTCCCTGGCCCCATTGCTGTCCCGCTCCCAGCCTTTGCTTCTGCAGTCCCCTCCACCCAGGATGCTCTCCCGATCTTCACCTGGTCTTAGTTCAAATGCTGCCTCCTCTGAGAAGCACTCCGTGACCACTCAATCTCGAAGCACCCCAAGCCACTATGGCTTCACCTCGTTGTATTTTTGTTTTTACACCGTCAACATCTAAATGACCATATTTATTTATTTACTATCCGTTGCCCTGATTGGACAGCAAGTTGGCAAGGATGGGGCCCAGGGTGGCCTCGGTCGTCCTGAGTTCCCTGCCTGGCTCAGCACACAGCAGGAGCTCAATAAGCGTTTGCTGGTTTAACGTGTTGGGGGCAGAGCCCAGGCTGGCAGTCCGGGCTTTCTGCCATGTGGCTCCTGTATTTACTTGCTAGCTCTGCTCTGCTGTGTGTCTTTGAGGAACCCTGTCACTCCCCTGGAACTCAGTGCCACCTTCCCCCAGACAGCAGGGCCCAGCACCCCCTCCCGTCCCCTCCCCTTCTGCTACCCCTCTTACCCGGAGCTCAGCAGTTGTAAGGGCACTGGGAGAACAAGTCTGGAGTCGGACCCGGGTTCATCCACAGCTCAGCCACTTATCTGAGCAAGTCACTCTGCCTCTCTGAGCCTCCGTTTTCCGGTGTGGGAAACGGGGCTAACAACATCTCTTTCAGGGACTGCAGGGAGGAGCCAACACGTGGCGAGCACGAAGCAGGTGCCCGGCCCTGGATGAATGGGATGGCCAGCACTGCCGCGTTCAGCTCTCTGTTGTTGCTGGAGAGGCCGTCTGGTGCTGTGGCCATGCCGCGGGGACGGGCTGTTGGGGCTGGGCTTTGAGGCATGAGTAGGAGTTTACCTAACCACTTGTGTTCAAATTTCGGCTTGCCCATTTATGTGCCGTTTGACCCTGGACAAGCTACTTCACTTTCTGGGCCTCAGTGTTCCCATCTACTAAATGGGGATAAGACAGCCCACACCTGGCTGCGAGTCGTGAGGCATAAACTGCTTACACTAGCAGTGTTGTTCACGCGGGTCAGTGTTAGCGCTTGTTCCTTTACTGCTATCACAACCAACGCAGTCCTCTCCAGAAGTCACTCTGCACGTCCTTCGGCTGCACTTCCGTGAAGACAGACCCAGAGCCCCTGGAGACAAGCTCAGGAGCCGAGACTTGATCCTCAGAGTAGCAGGGAGCCATCGATAGTGCTAGTGGCTGGGCAGCAGGCAGTTCTGGGTTGGGGAAGAGGAGGGGAGGCTAGGCCCCCGCCTCTGGCCAGGCCTGGAAGGGTCAGCTGCGGGTGTCTGCGACTGCACCCTGCCATAAGGCCGTCCCACAGGCTGGCCCCTGGCCCCGGCCCCTGCAGATGCGACATCAGAACCAGCTGTGCTAGCCAGATGTTCCTGGTTTACCCCCAGATGTGTGTCGCCAGCTCGCAGCTGCCCTGGCCTCCCAGTCCCCACCATGGGGTGGGGCCTGGCCCTGGGGCCCTCTGAGGGAGGGGGCACATTTCTGTGGGCTGTGGAATTTGTTTCTTGTCTTGCATAACCATTGAGTCTTGCCTTGAGAGAGACCCAAGTCCCAACTGTCACGAGGCCTCAGTTTCCCTATCAGCGGAACCTCAGGGAACCCCCAGGGGCCATCTAGGGGGAAGGAGACAAGCAGCACTGCCCAGCTGTCAGCCCTGGAGCTAACAGCACTGAGGGGGAAACAGAGGCACAGGCATGCAAGTATGTGTGTCTGAGGGCTGGGCCCAGTGGCTATCATCAGCCGCGTCTGCAGGACTTCATTGAATTAAGTGGCCCTCCAATTGAGGGAGGTTGTTCTGGGCAGTCTGTTGTACAGATGGGGAAACTGAGGCCCATAGGCGGGGAGGAGCGTAGGTCACCCAGCCCAGAAGAGGCAGAGCAGGGATCCGAACTCGGTTGCCTGGAGCCCACGTGTCGCGCCCACAGACACTCACCCTTGAGTATGTGGGCCACCCCCACGTCCGCCCACGTGGCTTCACAGCTTTGCTCGCTCTGCCTGTGGGAGTGACGACAGCCCCACCGTCCACTCAGTCAAGCTCTCCCAGGTCCTCCCTGGCCTTCCCATAATGCTGGGTGGCCCCCTTCAGACACTCTCTGAAGACGAGGAAACCAAGTTACAGGGCCAGGACATGGCCAGGACTGAGGTGGAAAGGGAGTGCACATGGAGGGGACAGCACACAGCACAAGCGTGGAGACTGGGGAGCCGCAGCCAGCTCACGCCTTTGTGAACAGAATTATTGAGATAATCCAGCCCAGCCTGCCCCTCCAGAAACCCCTAGTCCGGAAAAGACAGAGGTGGACATCACACCATGCTTCAGGGCTGGGCGGGAGGGAGGGACCTGCGGCCAGGATGCCAGGATAGGAAGCAGGGAAGGCTTCCTGGAGGAGGGGCTTTAGGAGCTACAGCTTTGAAGGATGAGGTGTTTGCCCAATGGGGACAGGCCCCGATACCAGGCCTCCCCCAGACCAGAGGGATGAGTGGCTGGAGGGTGGGTCCCATCTCGTCCTTCCTCTCCCTGGGAACAAGCACGATGCAGGTGCCTCGCGGAGGCCTGGAGCTTTGCAGAACCGAGGCTGCTAACCCTGGGAACAGGTATGCCTGGCGAGTGTTCCCTGGGAAGCTCTGTGGAAAGGCGGAGCCCCAAGGTGTTGCCTGGGTACCAGGATAATGAGCAGCGTTTCCTGGCACCACAGAGGAGGCTGCCAGAAACACCCACACCCCCTCACCGTGACTGTCTGCACCTTGGACGATTGGAAGGGCCTGCCTGGCTGGGTGTCTTCGGGCTGCTCATTGCCACTCTCTGAGCCTCAGTTTCCCCTTCCTCCCCGCCCTAGTCTTGGGGATTCTGTGGCCTCCAGCTAGAGGTGGAGGTCTAGCCTCGACCCCTCTTGCTGCAGCTGAGATCAGTGTGGCCTCCAAGAAGGAAAGGGGTGCCCTTCCCTTGGCAGTGAGGACTCTGGGCTCTGGACACTGTCTGAGGGCGGGGAAGGGCCCACCAGCCAGGCCCTGTCTGGGCAGTGTGGGACGGGTACCAGCGGTCAGTGCGGGTCATTCTGCGTCCTCTGCTTGCACACGCTTCACTGTCAGCCCACTGTGTCGGTGCCACTCAGCGTTTCCCCGGGACTGCAGCCGAGGGCCCAAGAGCACTGGGGGTGCATTTACGTGTGTGCCCCTGTGCGTGTGAGCCTGTAGCCAGAATGTGGGAGTCGCACTAGTGTGTGAACATGGTCGTGTTCAAGTGTGATCGTATTTGAGTGTAGTATAAAACACCCGTGTAGGAGTGTGAAACACAAGAGCATCTACACACAGTAGTGTTCAAGTCTGTCATAACATATGAATGGAAAAATGCCCAAGCGTGTGAGTGCAAAACACGAGTGAGTGTGGTAATGTCCGAGTATGTGGGTGTAAGGTTGAGTGTGATCATGTTTGGGAGTAAGTGTGAGAATTCCAAGTATGTGTGATAGTGTTCAAGTGTGTGAATGTGAGGTTTCCGTGTGTGAAAATGTCCAAATGAATGACTATGAAAACACTGGGCGTGTAAGTGGTATACGGTGTGTGCAAGAATGAGAACGCTGGGTGTGAGTGGCTGTGAGCCCCAGGTGTGCTCTGAGGGAACCCGCCCCCAGGTCGAGGCCTCCGTGATACACACGCACCTGGCCCCTCCCCCGTGCCCCCTGCCACACCCGCACCACCCCTCCCGGTCAGGTCCGTGCCAGAGACAAACCAGTTGGGTGACCCCCTTACAGAAAGGCCCATTGTTAACTGACGCTTATCAGTCGGCTTGCTGGGCCCCTCCACCGTCAGCCCCCTACTTCCCTGCCCCCCATCACAGCTCTGGGGGGGTCTGCCACTCCAAGGCCACTGGGGGCTCCTGTGGCCGGGCCATCTCTGGCGTGGTGTCTCGTGCCCCTTTCAGTCTCCTCGTAAGCCTTTAGCAGAGACAGGACCAAGGCCTGGTGCTGTGCAGAGGCCTCGTTCCAGCCTAAGAGGGAGACCGAGGCACACTACTCCAAGACTTGGCTGTGGGGCAGGCAAGGTGCTGGGGTCCAGAGGAAGCCATGCCCAGCTGCGTCTTGAGCCTGGGTGGGTTTCCCTGCCCATCTGCCCCTCCCCGGGGCTGAGGCCACCAGAGTTCCAATCTCAGCTTTGTTACCTTGGGCAAGTCACAACACTCTAGGCCTCAGTTTCCCCATCTGTGAAATGGGGATAAGGAATCCTGAGGTTGAAATGAGTATGTTGTTCATAAGATGGGATCTGGCATAAAGTCGGCGCTCATTAGGGGTGGGCACCTGACAAATGCAAAGGCTGACCTCTGCTTGCTGCACAACCTTAAGAATGACATAGTCTCATGACCCACCCCGTCCCCTCCTTGCCCTCCCCTTTGCCCTCTGTTCCCTGTGCACATGAGTGGGCTCCCTGTCCCTTCAACACGCCAGGGCTGGCCCTGCCCAGGGCCTTGGTCATGCTGGGCCCTCAGATCTCCAGGCTGGCCCAGGATACATTCACACCCCCTCATGTCTGGGGGCTCTTTCCTTCCCACCACCAACAGTAACGAAAGCTGTGATATCAACTAGTGGCAAGTCCTAGGGGGTACTCCATGGCATTTGCTCCCAAGCAAGCACGGCCTGTGCGGTATGTGCTGTGTCAGAGCTAAGTGCCCTTGAACAAGCCTCTCCCTATCTGTTTTGTGCCTCGGTTTCCCTAGCGGTAAAATGGAGATAATAGCTTCCCTTGTGGGCTCAGCACTAGGTCTGGCAGACAGCAAGTGCTTAATAAATGCCCAGTGTTACTGTCCGGTGAGTGTAGGTCCTTTGCTGTCACATCCATGGGGCTGGAGAGGCGCTGCGCATAACCACAAGCAGGGCTCAGCCTATGCAAATGACATGCAAATCACGCAAACCTCAGTCAAACCGCTCTGCCCACCCGCAAGCAGCCTGCACTGCCCGAGGTGCGCGCGTGGGGGCGCCCGGCACCCCGCGGCCCAGTCCCGGCGCTGACCTGCGCCCAGCCTGGCTTTCAGCTCTGCGTGTAAATGTTTACACCGGGCCAGTTGCCAGACCCCGCGCAGGCCGACACCAGGCAGCCGGGTGGGGGAATGTAAACGCGGGCTGCGGGCCTGCTGGGTGGCATGGAGCTGCTAGGTCACGGTTAAGGAGGGGGGTCGGTGCACGTGGGTCGCTAGACACCTACTGTATGCACGAAGCACGATGCTCCCGGGCAGTCATGGCATGGCGTGTATAATGGGGGATGCTCAGGGTCCGGGGTGGGGGGCAGTCGGGGGAGGCTTTATGGCGGAGGCCCTGTCGGAAGGGAAACTGAAAGGGAAATGGGAATAGGGAGAGAGGAGAGTGTTTGGGGTGGAAGGGCGCGTGTGCAAAGGCCTGGAAGTGAGCTGAGCACAGTTTTGCTTTATTGCTGCCGATGTCTGGTCATCAGTTTATCTGTTTGGAAAGAAAACACAGGCTGAGAGGGGCAGGAAGTCACTCCAAAGGACATCTGTATGTGGGGAACAAAGCCTCAGCCCCATAGTTCCTGCCTCCCAGACTATTCTAGGCACCAGCTCTCCTTGCCACTCTTGTCCCACAGTGCCCCCTGCTGGGAATGCTCTCCTCTTTCATTCTTCCCCTAAAGTTACTGGGCTCCAGCCACCCCAGCCTCCTGGCTAGATTGGCCAAGCTTGGTTCAGCCCCAGTACCTTTGCACGGGCTGTTCTCTATGCTTGAGATGCCACTGGTCAACTCCTATCTTTGTTTAAGTCTCAAATTCAATTCTCAACTTTCCTCAACTTTCAGGTAAACACTCTGGGACCTCTAGTTGGGGACGGTTCCCTGTACTCCTGGCAGAGTGCCCACCCCCTCCTTGGTAGTGTTCGTCACAATCGTGTTCAGTAGTTCCTTGATGAATTATGTCTGTTATTGATCATTAAGCAGAAGTGGTTCAAAATCAGGGGCCCCACTGTGTCCCCAGTGCCTGGCCCTGTGCCCATTTCTTGCCTGACAGACGGAGGCCGTCTGACCACCCCGTGCCCGCAGGCTGAGGATGCAGCGCTGGAAGGCGGCGGCCTTGGCCTCAATGTTCTGCAGCTCCGTGCTCTCCATCTGGATGTGTCGAGAAGGCCTGCTCCTCAGCCATGGCCTTGGACCTGCATTAGCCCCACTGCGCCGGCCACCTCGAACCCTGGATGCCCGGATCGCTCGCCTGGCCCAGTGTAAGCTTTGCCCCAGTCTTGGGTCAGATACCTCTGACACAGGGGCAGCCATGCTAGGGGAATTTCAGGCATTGGAGCTGGGCCACAGAGGCTTTTTTTAGATGGGGCGAAGGGAGGGTGCAAATCCCCTCAACGGTCTGGCAGGGAGGGGGGATGGCTCCTGGGAACTGGGGTCTTTCAGCTCAGCTGTCATAAGGAATTAAGCTCTGGCCCTCAGAGACCAGAGGACCAGATGGAGATTAGACTTGGGAACCTGGCCTGGGTGGCCCCTGCAGTGCAGCAGGGTGTGGGGTGAGAGGGAGGCTGGAACCAAAGCCCAGTGACCTACCCGGCTGGACAGAGACCAAGGGATGGGGGAAAGAGAGGGAGACCTAGAAACAGTTAGGGACCTACACATGGGGAAGGAGACAGAGAGAGAGAGACACAGAGACAGAGAGACAGGGCGGGAGAGACAGACATGAAAAGGCAGGGAGGCAGAGAAATGGAAACGGCCACCCATGGAGAATGGCCACCTGGCCCAACTCCCCACTCGCCCCTGGAGCCTGCCCTCTGCAGCTTCTGACCTCGTGGGCCTTGACCTCGTGTGTGTGCCCATGTCCACATGTACAGCAAGTGCGAGCAGCAGGGATCCCCATGTGCCATTCCAGTCCACATAACCCTGTCTTGGCTTCGCAATGGAAAAGGGTGGCCTATGGCAGGGCTTCACCTCCACCCCCATGCTTTACCTAGGTGGCAAAGTCCTTCCCAAGACACTGGGTCCCAGAGACCCGGGTAGAGCTTCAAAAGCCAGCAATCCAGGACCTGAAGGCGAAGCACCGATGGTGGTGGATCCACCAAGGAGGCTCTTGGCCCGTAGCGGGTGCTGGTCAGTCCTGATCGTGTCCCTGGGCCCAGCGGTACTGATGAACAGGAGTGGCCGCTGATTACCAAACGCCTAATGTTCTAGGCCCTGGGATATGAACTGATGGTGGAATTTCAGGCTTAGGAAGGAGGGGCGGGGAGCAGATCTATTCATCTTGCGTCCAGAACTGGTGGACATGGCCGAGCCTACTGGAGGGAGGCAGGGACAGAGACACTAAAAGATCATTTGCTGTTTATCTGAAATTCAAACTTATTTGGGCATCAGTATTTCATCTGGAAACCCCCAGAATAACTCTCTAGATGGACATCTTTGGGGTGGGCACACTAAATGCTAGAATTTTAGGCACCAGAACTGAGCTAGTCTGGAATCCAACCTCCGAGCAGCCATTGCTGGCATTCCCAGCGCTGCCCCTGGGCTACAAGAACTAAGAACAAGTTGCTCAGGTGCCTCCCACTCTGCACCCTCCAAGTCCCAGCTCCAGCTCCAGCTCCTGCCGCAGCCCAGCCCAGCCCAACCCCAGCCCCTTCCCTACCCCATCCCATCCCAGCCCCGGCTGGACTCTGCAAGCACACTGAGGAGACACGGAAACCGAGCCACAGAGCAGGGCCATCACCCACCTGAAGCTGCACAAGACCGACAGTGGCAGATCTCTGCTTTCTGAGACTCTCTGGGGAACAAACACCCCCCCAAGGTGACAGACAGCCCCTCCCTCTCGGGCCTCCCATAAGGTATTTCTTTTGACAGCCAGGTATGCCAGCCTTGACGGCAGGCGGGGCTAAACTCAGGATTTCCTCTCCCAGCTACAAGTGTGACAGCAACTTGTCAGGGGCTGGGAATCCCCTGCCTGCCACTCCAAAGTCTGCACTTCTCTCCTGGGACTGCGGTGAAAAACAGGTCCTCGAATAAAGTCGTTTCCTTGAACATAATTTTGTTATAAAGTCGATGGGATGCCGTAAGAACGGAACTCTTGTTTATATCGATTAGCCTTTGGTAGAATTGGTTTTGTTACTCGCTGTTTCGCCACAGTCCCAAGAACCTATTGATAGTGTTAAGTGAGGACTTACTGTACCGGGGCAGGGCCAGCCCCTGGGAAATAAACTTAGGCTACCGGGCCCTGGGAGTCTGGGACTGAGGGCACCTCCCTGCAGCTGTGCGAGGAGAGGGCTGGACTTGGGCCAAACCTAGGCACTCGATGGAAGCGGGAAGGATGCTGTCTGGGTTTGTCTCTCTCTCTCTCTCTCTCGCTGCCACCTGTCAGTGGTTGTGGCCTTGGCCAAGTCTCTGCTCCTTTGGGTGCCCAGATTCCTTATCTGTAGCATGGGGACCGCTGTAACAATAGCTGCTGCCACATCATGTGCTGGGGTCCCCAAACGCAGTCCCCAGTGCCTGCTGTTCCTCTGTGTGTTTTGAGAAGCTGGAACACCACGGGCTTCTGGATGAAGAAACCAAGGCCCAATACTCAGTGGAGCAGCAGGAACATGGTGGGGGTTGAGGTTGGAGGTTGTGAACAGCCCAGCGGCTCAGAGAAAATGTGGGAGCTTTGGGTGGGGAACCTAAAGAGTGAGTTAGAGACCCGTACAGCTCAAGGAAGGGTGAAGGGTTGGGGCGTAGGAAGCAGCCCTCCAACGCTGGTCAGAGAGAGTGAGCCGGCTCCGAGCAGCCCAACATGCGAGCAGGGTCCAGACAGAGGTGTTGGTAGCCTTGAGGGCCCAGGGTGGAGGTCTGGATATTCACCCGAGCAACACCACCCAGAGAGAGTGCATGGGCGGGAACGTGGGAGATGCGCTAGTGCCCCAGCGGCCCCGCAGCTGTCATTTTGGGCAAGGGAACAGCGAGGGGAGGTGGCTCGGTCCCTCCCCCGCACTGACCCCCAACGCCTTCTCTCCCCCGCCCTCGCAGACCGTGCCCTGCTGCAGGGCGCCCCGGACGCGGTGGAGCTGCGCGAGCTGACGCCCTGGGCCGGGCGGTCCCCGGGCCCGCG